GTCATTTCAGGTATGTGCATCAGACATAATACCTCTCTTGAAGGGCAGCATCAAGTAATTAAAAATTATCATTTAGTAGATTAACTTCAGAAAATTATGTTTGTTCTGATTTTTATCTTGCTGTTTCGTATGTAATCACTTTTATTAAACCTCTTCTTTCCATCCCCATTCCCTATATAGTGCACTGTTTTCTGTTTGAATCATTTTAAGTGAGTTGTTTCTTTAGCCTCTCCCTCCTTTTCCACTTCTGAAAGAGTTGTATACAGTACTGTCTTCTCTTTTTCTTGCAATAGGCTTTCCTGCCATTTCTTAGTTTTTCTCTTGATACGTATTTACCTACCCCATAGGCTTTGTTAACCAACATCTGTGTTTTCCTGGAAAGAAATCCAGAGTTCAGGAATCAGAAATTAGTGTATCAGGAATATTTTGGTGGGCTGCTGATTATTTCCCATCTTGAACAGAAGAATCGACATTGGAAAACACAAGACAATGTGTGTCACTAAACAATAAACAGTGTTAACACTTGTATACTGTATATGCTGGCCTAGCCATTAACTAGATAGGCGTTAACTAGAAGAAATGTCAGATTTGACAGCATTTGCTACATGTCTTACTTGGAAAGCATGAGAGGAAAATAGATCTGGATTTTGTCTTCAGAAGTAGAACAAATCGGGCTGCACACCTGCATTTATTTTGATGAAACTTAAGATGATGATAAATGATTCAGTGAATGTTTTTGTGACATAAATATCTGGAATTATGTTTTCCTCAAAGTTGGTTATAATGTCTGGATTTTCACTACAAATGTTTCCATCTTTAAGAGAACCCCGTTTTCTATAACAAGAACAATCTTCTCTGAAGAGCAATTTTGCAGTTGAAATACATTGAACACAGTCCCTACCTACTTCCATCTTTTTGAAATGTTTTTAAAAATCAATTCTTCAGTACTTTAGGTTTATTTATTTCTTGGGGCAAGAATTGTCCCAAAAAATAAATGACTCACACCATCAACCTCACAACACTAAGCTGCTGTTTTGTGAAATATCTCTGTTTTGTGAAATATCTCTCTGTGCCTTTGTGGAAACAGTTCCACAAACAGTTCCTGTTTCCACAAAGGACATTGTGTAGACATTATGAAGAAAACATGCATGTTTGCACAGTGTAAAAGAGTTCTTTTTCTGCTGTGATTATGGAATATGTTATGTTGTGCCATGTTATGTTGATTAAGGGTCACTTGAGGCTGACAGGCAGCTGGTACACTCCCTTTTTATATACTCATTGTAAAGTTGATTATATGTGAGGTGTTGCTGCCCTGTATGGTAAGAGAAGTGATCAGAATTGTTGAAGTTCAAATAGATGTTACATGAGGATGCCTTGAATTTTTTTTTTTTGTGCTTGGGGTATAAAAGTATGGTGGTCATTGGATTCCTACTGCCACAGAGTAAATCTATTTATTAGTTTAATCTAGAGTAGAGTGGCTGAATAAAAAGTAACCAGTTAAGTTTTGTTTGTTTGTTTGTTTATTTATTTATTACGGTCAGGTGACCAACCCAGACCAGTTAAGTCAGCACTGACATAAGTCTCATTGTTTTAATAGGCTGTCTCTTAGCTGGGACTAGTTTAGTTCTATGAATCTAACTGGCCAGGTGTTTTGAGGTGGCAGATATCAGTTAATGTAGAGCCATAAGACACTTGAGGCTAGTTAGCAGCTTTTGATGAAGGGAAAGTAGCTGGGCCAGAAGGTTACAGGAGCACTCTGAGGCAGTAGAAGCTGAAGGCTATTAAAACTACTTAAGAGAAGAGCTAGAGAAAATCTGTTTGTTCAGAGGGAAAGATTCTAGAAGACATAGTTGTATCCAGAGTGTCAATACAAGACAGTGAACTTGGGTCAACAGAATGTGCCATATTAAAGGTGAAAACTATGAAATAGGATGAACAAAGGTAATCAAATATTCAAACCTATGGGGATGTCACCAGCCAGAACAATTTGTTGTCTAGGTCAGGGGTCATCAACCCCCGGTCCGCGGCCCAGTGCCGGTCCCCGGGCTTACCGGAACTGGGCCGCGGAGACAAGTCTCCGCCCCCCACCTCCCCCACGGGGTGTGTCGAACTGGCTGAGGGGTGTGTTTCCATCCTAATGGGTCCCCCAGTGCTCCTTCGCTGCAGGGAAGCTGTTGTGGGCAGCCCGCCCAGGAAGCGCCAACGGCCGGTCACCATGCTCGGCGCCACCCCACCCAGGGCGAGCGGCCGATCCTGCTGCT